GGGGCGATCCTGGGATTGGGGGGTGATGGGGGTCAACGCCTGGGGGCTCCCAGTATGTGGGAGGGGGCAGGCTGGGCTGAGGGACCCCCCCCCCCCCCCCCCCCCCCGCCCAGTGCACGAATTTCATGCACTGGACCTCTAGTATTAACATATCATTGGTCCCAAGACAACCATTATATTTTATTTTAGAAAAAAAATTTTAAGTGTCCTTTTCCCATGTGTATAATCATCTCAGGTGCAAATTAATAAACATAAAAAAGAATAGGTTTTTATCATCAAAATACAAAGGAGGTAATTTATCAATGTGCAGGCTGTGCTCAACATTGCAGAAGACTGCAGCATGTATCTGCCTTCAATCTCCTTAAAAATCTAGTTGTATATGATCAGGTTGACAAATGTCACCCCATTAAATTTAATTTTTAAAAATCTAGTTGATGTGACAAGTCTTACAAGTACAAAGGCTCAGAAGAAGGGGAGAGTAAAGCAAGCTAGATCATTCAGAGGCGTCAAGGAAGAGCCAGGACAAGTTCTGCGTCACACCATGGGAAAGTAAGAACACTGGTGGGGCTACAACAGGGCACGTCTGGGGCTGCACTGATAATATGAGGGAGGTAGGGTAGGCCAGGTAACAGAAGGGCTGTGGGCGGGGTAGAGTTATAAAAGGTACCTAATGATAAAATGCCATCGTTCAAGGTGTGTCTGGTGCTCTGAGCCTAGGAAAACTCTATGCAGGATGCAGGTTAGACAACGCAGTCAGGGAGGTAGTGGATCCAAACAAGGTCATGGGAGGTGCAAGGATGAGGAGGGATGGCGACCAGCGTATTGGGAAGGAATTGGATGGCATTACTTTTTCGATATAGGAAGAGAGGAATCAAAATCACTTAGCTGGCAGATTCCACCATGAGTGATGATAGAATGGCAATGCTACTGTGTCAGACAGAGGCAGACAAAATGACGCTGGCTTTAGGGACGTGCAGTGATGACAGGACATGTCTGCCTCCAGTAGAACACAGGAGAAATGAGATCAGAACTCAGGAGAGAGGAAGAAACTGGCATGTGGGTTCCAGTGCTATCATTGTAGTGGTGACAGTTGATGAGAATAGTCTCTTTGGAGTGGGTATGAGATGAAGAGAAAATACAGTGGAAGACCAAGAACTAAAGGTTGTGAAAATTGCACAACCAGTTGGGACCAAGAAAAGAACCAGCAAAAGGAAGGGGTGGGGGTGGGGGGCTGGGAATTCGAGGCAGGCACTCTCCTGAGAGTCATGGAAGAATTTTTTTAAAAGGGTGGCCAGCAATATCAAGGACAGGAGGGAAGCCAAAGCAATGAGACACAGGTGATCCGGACACGAGAAACTACTGATAACCTCAGAAGCATTTTGCCAGAATAGTTAAGGTGGCAAAAACTAAAGTCAGAAATGAAGGAAATGGATGTAGGAATGTTTGGGGAAGGGAAGGGAGAGGGAAGAAGAGAGAGAGAAGAGGGGCACAGGGAGGGAGATTGCTATCAGGGACTATTGGAAAGCTACTCAGAGTTTTTTCTTCCCATTTAAAGTCAAAGCAATATTTACACTGGTCTGAAGTCAGAAGAAAAGGAGTTAGTTTACAAGATAAGAGAAAATAGTGAAGACAAAATCAGGACCCTCAGGCACTGGAAAGGGATGAAATTTAGGGTTTTGCTCATGATTTGAATACAGTTACACTGCTCAGGGCCTAGTTTTTTAAAATATGTTTTTATTGATTTCAGAGAGAGGGAGAGTTAGAAACATCAATGATAAGAGAGAATCATTGATGGGCTGCCTCCTGCACGCCCCCTATTGGGGATCGAGCTCCCAAATGGGCATGTGCCCTGAATGGGAATTGAACCGTGACCTCCTGGTTCATGGATCGATACTCAACCACTGAGCCATGTTGGCCAGGCTCAGGACCTACTTTGTTTCTTTATTTAAAAGTGCTATATCTCTCAAATGGTTACTGTTTTTGTAGCTCTTGCAGTAACACTCACTATTGTTGCCCCAAAGCACTGGCAGACAGGAAGTACTCTCCATGATATAGCTAAATCTGTTCATAACAGGAAATGTCCTGGAAAGTTAAGATAAATTCAAATATGGCCAGTATGTTTCTAAGCCATTCAGAAGTAAGCAATTATCTTAGTGCAATAACTCATACCAGCAAAACCTGAGACTTCTCCAAACTGTATTTTATGGTCCTTTCTTTAAAAAAAAAGTTTTTATTGATTTTTAGAGAGAGAGGAGGGAGAGGGATAAATAGAAACATTGATGCGAGAGGAACATCATCGATCAGCTGCCTCCTGCACACACCCCTGCTGTGATCGAGCCAGCAACCAGGCATGTGCCCTCACAGGGAATCAAACTGGTCACCTCTTGCTTCCTGGGTTGAAGCTCAACCACTGAGTCACACCAGCCAGGAATATGGTCCTTTCTTTTAAAATAGAAATAACATGAATGATGCCTTATTTATCTTTCAGGTATAGATCCAGATTTGCTGGTTTTTGGACAATCACCTCCCACATATCTAAATACCCGTTCTTCATCTGATAGATGGGACAGACTAAGAAATCTAAAAACTATGAATTTAGATAAACAACAAACCACCATGATAAACCAAATGCTAACATCAATAGAGGCTCCATCATCAACCACACATCAAGAGTTGGTCAACGCAACCCATACCAGGTATTCCGAGGAATTAACCACAGATTCTTGGGCAAGATTAATTTCCCTGAATGGTTCCATTGCCACAAAAAAAAATAAGGTATCACCCAGTGCTGATTTCATCAACAATCCAGATAACAAGACTATTTCTCCTTTCTTTGTGCCCATAGACACAAAACTTTCTCATATGCCCATTCCATCCCGACTCAACAGCAGCAAGCAGTTACTGAACAAAACCAAAGGGTACAACAGCAGAAACCACACATCTGAGAACGAAGACAAAACACCGGATGGGACATCTGTGACTTCAAAGACGTGGTTGATTCCTGTGGCCCTTTGTACCTCTGTCCTCTTTCTTTGCTGCTGTATAGTCATCCTGGCATCTGGATGCTGTCGAAAGAAGCAGGGCCAGTATAAACCAGGACAGAGAAAGTCAGGATCCAGGCAAAGGAAAAAAATGTAACATTCTGAAGGAGAACTCTTAATAGTAAAAGTTGTAAGAGATTGTAAGATTTCAAGAGTATCATTTTTAGTTTTGTGTAAGACAAGGGCAGTTTGTTTCAAAAATAATTGCATGGGATGCCCACCACCACCAATGTCTAAAAAAACACACTAATGCTTGATAAACAGAACTGCTTTTTTTATTATTTACTTTTTTTTGAATAGTGTATTCTTTGTCAATTTTCTAAAATTCTGACTTCTGCAGTTATTTAGCATCATGTGAGAGATATGGTTCTAAATGCTATACATTTATTAACTCCCTGAATCCTTATAATTCTGAGTCAGATAAACTATTATTAACCATTATACTTCTACTAGAGGCCCTGTGCACAAAAATCGTGCACTTGGGAGGGGGTGTCCCTCAGCCTGGCCTGCGCCCTCTCGCAGTCTGGGAGCTCTTGGGGGATGTCCTACTGACGGCTTAGGCCTGCTCTCCTGGCAGTCGGACATCCTTAGCGCTGCCACGGAGGTGTGAGAGGCTCCCGCCACTACTGCTGCGCTGTGAGCCCAGCTTCTGGCTGAGTGGCGCTCCTCCTGTGGGAGCGCACTGACCACCGGGGGGAGCTCCTGCATTGAGCATCTTCCCCCTGGTGGTCAGTGCGCGTCATAGCGACAGGTCATTCTGCCGTTCGGTCAATTTGCATACTAGCCTTTTAATATATAAGATTATCCCATTACACAGATGAGGGAACTGAGGAGAAAAGAGACTAAGTATCTTGCCTAAAGTCACACACCTAGTAAATAGTGAAGCCAGGACTTAACAGAAAATCTGTTTCCAAAAAAGTTCATGCTTGAAATCACGGTTAGACTAAAAGCCTCCATTTTCCTAATAAGCATGGGATACAAGGAGGAAAAATACTGTAATATCTTATTTGTCTACCATCAAGGTCAAATTATTGTTATAGGTTAATAAAATCTTACAGTGGCTTAAGCAAATGCTTCCTGATTTTTATATAGTTTTCTATGTTCCATGCTTCTCAATCCTAATCCATCTTCATTTTCTAAAGATAACATGCCTTTCAATACTTATGGCATGGAGATCTTTTGAGTTTTATGTTAACTTCTGTTGAATAAAGCTTGGGAATTCTAGTTTACATCCCTTACTTGTATAGTTTACTCAGATGTAAAGCTTAGCACTAGGTATTTCAGCTCTGTCCACTTCTTATACCAGATTTATCCTTTAACTCTTAATAAATGTAGATAGAAAGTTGTAATTCAAGTCTCTAATGATCTGAAACTACAGGCCCTTAATCTCATCCCTGAAACTGTTTTTAATGTGAGAATAGATATTGACAGCCATAACCACAAAGAATATAGAAGAGAAAAATCTTATAAGATTAATAAAATAGTACTGTTCCCTCATATTAATCATAAATAAGTCTGAATTAAAAAATTTAATCAGTTTGCCTTAACTCGCTATTTATAATACTAGAGGCCCAATGCATGAAAGTCGTGTAGGGGCTTGGTCCTTGAAGTCCTGGCCAGCCCTTGCAGCCCTGCACAGCCTCGGCTGGCCCTCGCAGCCCCGGCTTAGTCTGGAAGGTTGTCTGGACGGTCGTTCTGCTATTCGGTCTAATCAGAATATTAGCTCTTTATTATATAGGACCATAAATTTGTTCAATTTCCTTCTTAATACATTAGGGGGAAAAGGCCCTGCTATTTAGGGGATTATCGAGATTTAAATTATCCTAAATTTATATTTAAATAAATAATTCAGGAAGCTGTCTTTAAAAATTATTTCTATATACATTCTTTGAAGATTGCTTTCCTTTCAAATATGTACAAATTATTTAAGCTTCCCAACAAAGTAGGGCTGCTAGAAAATAAGGTTTTTTTCTTCCTTGGAGTTTCTAAGAATTTTACTCATTCCTTAAAAATTGATAGTTTTAGAGAAATAACCACAACTTGGGGAAAATATATTTTACCTTTGTAAGAAAACAAACTCACACTCCTCTTCTTCAGCCCCTAACTTTGACCATCAGATAGACGGAGTAAACTTAGACTGGAGAAGCAACCAGGCTAGAGGCAGCCAAGAAGCATCAAACACAGCCAGGCCTGGAAGCCACGTCCTAATGAAAGTCAAAGGGACCAAAGAGCGCTCCTGAATAGAACTTAAACCATTAAGAAACAAAGATGTCAGGGCCCAGTCAACAACTACGGTGAAGGTTGTTACACCCATCTGGGAAATAACCACAATACTGAAATCTCTCCAACATTGTAGGTAGTCAGTTTTGGTATGGGTTTAAGTCTGTAATTGTCCATTATTATGAAATACTGACCAATATTGGAAAGAATATTCGCCAAGAAAGAAATAAAGCACCCTATCATTAAGAAGACAAGTTTTATTTTTTTGCCTCCATGTTTAAGCAACTTCTTAAGAGTTTGAACTCAGAAATGCTTGCAGATCAACACAAGCAGCGTCCCCTAGAATCCTTCCTCATTATAAGGATGAATACGGTAATGTTCACTGTATATATTGGGCCACTTAATAGTTTAAAGGACAAGGATCTAATTGACAAACAGTGCTGTTTAATTATGGTTAAAATTACAATGACGGCGGCTGTTATCTTCGGAGGCGGTTTCGTATTAATCTTACAGCTCTAAGAGTTTGCGATCCTAGGGTCAAGCCTCAGTCCGAGAGCCTTCAGATCAGTTAGCCAAACTGCAAAGGTTAAAGGTCACAGTCCTGTACAAGACCATCCTCACTTCTGACACCAACTCTAAATTCCGGGTAGGGCAGGGGTTCCCAAACCACCCTCAGGTTCAATAACTTACTAGAATTCACAGAACTCAATGAGAGCTGTCATACTCACAGTTGTGGTTTATTACAGGGAAAGTATACAGATTAAAATCAGCCGAGGGAGAAGCTCATAGGATGAAGTCCAGAAAGATTCAAAACTCACAGCTTCCCCAGAGATCGACCAAAGCCATTATGCTCAATTAATTTTTGACGAAAGAGGCAAAAGGGCTTCTGCACAGCAAAAGAAACCATCAACAAAACAACAAGAAAGCCCACTGCATGGGAGAACATATTTGCCAATGTTATCTCCAATAAGGGTTTAATCTCCAAAATTTACAGGGAACTCATACAACAAAAGGAAGATAAACAATCCAATCAAAAAATGGGCAAAGGACCCAAGTAGACAATTCTTGAAAGAGGACATACAGAAGGCCAAGAAGACATATGAAGACATGATCAAAGTCACTAATAATCCGAGAGATGCAAATCAAAACAACAATGAGGTACCATCTCACACCTGTCAGGATGGCTATCATCAACAAATCAACAAATCAACAAACTTGACAATTGCTGGCGAGGATGTGGAGAAAACGGAACCCTCTTGCACTGCTGGTGGGAATGCAGACTGGTGTAGTCATTGTGGAGAACAGCATGGTTGGTTACATAAAGGCTTTTGAAAAGAAACTGGAAGTCTTTAAGAGGGATGTGGATGGTGAGAGATTTAGATATTTCCCAAACCTCAAGAGGCACATCAAAGACCTCCCAAAAGATGACAGAACAGACTGTCAAAGCCTTCAAAAGCTGTTTTTAAACATCATCGAGTCAACTATTGAGCAGTTCTTCTCAAGATTTGCGAAATTCAGAGAACTGGAAGAGACAGCAAAATTCATGAGGTTTCCAGACAGCATGAAACTGGAGGAACTAAACTTACAAATGTTTTCATGGATAGACATGGCTGACTTTTAAATGCAGTTGATTGAATTTCAGAGTAGCTCAATTTGGAAGCAGAAATTTATTGACCTTAGAGTTGACTTGGAAAACATTGAAAAAAAGCAATTAGAGACAGGAGTACCAGAGAGAAGTGTCGAAAACAAACTATTGAGGACTTGGAGTGCCATTCCAGAAAATTTTTTCTGTTTAAAAAACTTTGCAACAGCGTTACTCTCCATGTTTTCATCCACATACGCTTTTGTTCTCAGTGATGAATTTTGTTAAGTCTCATAATAGGAGTAGCCTGGCTGATGAAAGTAGTAGCTCGTGCATATCTCTGAAGGTCATGAAATATAAACCTGATGTAAAATCTCTGTCATCAGTGATGCAGCAGCAAAAGTCCCACTGATAATATCAAACGGAGTCATAAAGTTTTCTGTCGGACTATCAGTGTACATGTATACATTAAAAAGTAAATGTATTTTTCATCATCATATACTGTGTTTTTGTTGCTCGAATGAATTTTATTATTTCTTCAAGGTTCTTCACATATGTACACCTTAAGAGATATCAAGTAGGTGTAACATGTTCTCAAAAAATCAGGATTGGCACGCAGAAGAATTTTGAGTCAGAGATTTTGCTGGTTTTGGCACGCAGTCACAAAAAGGTTGCCCACCCCTGAACTAGAGAGTATTATGCTAAGTGAAATAAGCCAGTCAGAGAAAGATAACTGTCACATGATTTCACTCATTTGTGGCATATAGTGAGTAACATAAACTGATGAACAAAAATAGAACCAGAGACATAGAAGCATCGAACGGACTGTCCAACCTATGAGGGAAAGTGGGGGGTGAGGGGGTAAGAGATCAACCAAAGGACTTGTATGCATGCATATAAGCAAAACCAATGGACACAGATAGTGGGGGGGGGGAGGTCTTGTGCTTGGGGGAGGAGGTGGCAGGGGAGAGGTCAATGGGGGGAAAAAGGAGACTCATGTCATACTTTAAACAATAAAGAATTTAAAAACAAAAAACAAAAAAACTCACAGCTTCTGGTGTCCTCTACCCCTGGAGGCAGGATGGATTCCTCACCCTGTTCCAGGGTCTGACATGCCCAGAGTATTGCCAAGCAGGAAAGCTTGCCCGAACCTCACGTTTTAAGTTTTTAATGAGGCTCCATTACATAGGTATGATTGACTGATTACCTGTGGTTGATCTCAGTTGCCAGGTGCACTGATTTACCAGATGACTCAAAGCCCCCACCCAAAATAACATGGTTGGTTTTTCTGACATGCCTAAGACTATCAGGTGTGGCCAGCCCCACCCTAAAATTCATTGTGAGCAGCTCAGCATTAAACAAAGACACTTCTATGAGGTATGGCATAGATTACCTCCCAGAAGCTACAGGGAGAATCCAGACCTTTGGGAAAGGTCAAACTCTTTATTACACACTAGAGGCCCAATGCATGAAATTTGTGCAACAGCAGGCCTTCCTTGCCCTGGCTGCCAGCACCGGCTTCCCTCTAGCACCCAGAACCTGGGCTTGCTTCCCTCTGGCCACCAGCAGGCACCCGGGACCCGGGCTTCCCTCGCAGCCCCGGCTTCATCTGGAAGGACGTCTGGTCTAATTAGCATATTACGCTTTTATTATTATAGATCATTTCTGCCCCTGCTGACACCTGCACTGTACTATTACTATAGGACTGATGATCCTAATCCACCACTTCTTCACATGTTCCTTCCAAGTTTCCTTCTTCAGTCCTGTTTCTGCAGCTACTGTACTATTACTATAGGACTGATGATCCTAATCCACTACCTCTTCACATGTTCCTTCCAAATGTTTCCTTCTTTAGTCCTATTTCTGCAGCTGAGTTTTCCTAACTCTGAGTCTCTAAAAATATAACATTTCAATGCACTCATGTATGCTTGAAACCTGATCTAAAAATTCAGTTTTATCTACTTTGCTTTTCATTCAGTATTTTCATCCAATGAAATACAACATACCTCTCTCCTTTTTGCACTCAAAGCCATATTGTTGTCCTTTCTAACCTACCGACTCTTGGGCTTGCTAATACCAAATCATACCTTCATTTTATATACACCTTTTGGGCAACTGTTTTGAAATTCCTTTTGGCTTTCATTTATGTCCTCTAATTCTGTCCTCTAAATCAAGTCTTAGGTAAAGAAACTCAATAATGCCTTTCTTTTTATTTTAAGTTAATCACTTGTGGACAACTTTGGAAGTGTTAAGAAATGACCTCCAGATATACTTAAAAATCCTGAGTTGACAGCTAAATAGAATGGAATGCTTCTTAGGGCAGTGCTCAAGTGAGCGAGGCTCTGCCAGAAGGCCCAGACCCTCCCTGTGTGGTGAGCATTGCTTGGTCCTGGCTTCCTGGGGGGAGGAGGAGGGGGATGGGTGATCTGTCATTTACTCCACTTACACTCCTTATGCCTCATCTCTTTCCTGAGCTGTGGAAGCTCTCCCTGGGGAATCAAGCAATGAATACCAGTTAATCTCCATTTTCAGGTTGGATTTGGAGAAATGAGGCCCAGGAAATAGAAAGTAAGATACTAAACAGAAATGAATCAATATAAAGTGACCCCAAAATAGAGGGATGGAACCAATTTTTTAGGTTAGAAAATACTCCCAAGGACCTGATTCTAATCAGAACTGACATCTGCAAAAATGCATTGGGTGGACAGCAGTTATGTAAACAAAACACTGAGCTGCAGTGGGGCCCGGTTCTAGACCTCACTTCTGAAATAATCACAATTACAATTCAGAAGCATCCAATAAGTGCTACTGTGTAGGGAAACAATGTAGCAGGTGACAAAATAAATATATTATCTGCATTTAAATTCTAAAGTTGTTATAACAGAATTAAAATCAAAACATGTTAGAACCAGAAGAAATCAGAGATCTAATGAGTCTAATTGCCCCACAGTATAGTAAGAAAATTTGTGAATATTCATTGCCTTTTGTGCATTAGTATGAAAGGAATAATTTTAACTCGAAAGTAAAACAACATTTTTTTTAACATTTTCAACTTTATATCAAATTAGATAATTACATATAGGTCATAAAATAAACCAAGCATATTTTTCTACATAATTCATGTCAAATTTAATAGTCTCTTCACTGAGTCTTTGTACTGAGAAAGAGTATTTTCACTGTCCCCTTCGTTCTTAAGACTAACAACGCACTTTTTGTAATCTTCAATCTCTTTAGTGCCAAGGAGCTCTTCTTTAGTTACGTCCGGGTTTTTCTCTGCAGCTTTAATTTGGAGAAGTGTTTCCAGGATATTTTTTTCTGAGGAGCTATTTGTCCATATATACTCTTCCATGTCTGCTTCAGTCTTATTTTTCTCCCAGTCCTCAGTTTTCTGAAAGGAAAGAATGAGTTCTGAATTCTGAGAAATATTACCCAAAGAAAAGATTGGGGTTTTTAGGGGAACAGAAGTTGGCAAAATGTGAATACTCTGTATGTACACTTTGATTTCCCCCTTTATCCAGCACCGCTCTCCACCTGCACCAACAGCTTCAGGACTGCACACGGCTATGTGAACACTCCGTTTCCATTCACTAGTTCTAATTCCACTTATAACGCAATACTGTTTTCCAAAAGATACAGAAAACTCCTTTTTTTGCAGCTTTCTAGTCCCTAAATGCTAACACATCAACAGTTTACATTTCTGTGGTTAAAAATAATGAGAGTGGAGACTGTATTTATCTTTGTAACATGCCTGTGGGGATGACAGGAAAGACCAATTATTATAATAAAATTAAAAATATGAAGTACGTGTGTAATACACGATTTTCAGTCATAATGACTTCATATATTCTGGAATTTTGTTTTGGTATTATCTTCCTTTTCTGTTCCTACAATGGAAATAATTTTTGTTACCACTTGTTTTTTTTCTTACAAAAATTATTACCATGCTATTGAGGGAACACTGGTAGGTTTCATGGTCATACAATTCAGCTTATGATTTAAATGAAGATGTACCATTCTGTGAAAAATCAAGCAATGCAGCTAATAAGTAATATGCTCTGCTTCAAAGAAGTGCTGAATACCAACCTCATTCTTTCCAAATTAACAGGGTAAGATTCTGAGTTATAGGCCATTATAAAATCATCTACTATTCTTACAACTTTAAGAAGTTATAACATTTTAAAGTATTAGAAGAGAGGTAGATTTATTTATGAAAACTCCTCTTAAAAGAGACACCCGCCTGAGCAGACAGATCTCCAAGGCTCCTCAGAGCTACATGAGCAGCAAGATGAGGTAAACAGTTTCACCATGCCTTCCGCCCATCCCCACCCCCACAGAAAGAGAAATGCACTGGAGATGTGTCCTTTAGAGGGTAAAAAAGAAGCCTTACCAAGTGCAAACAGGCCACTGGGGATGCCAATGATCCAGCAAACCCCACTGAACCCTAGGAGAGAAGCTCCCAACCACAGAAACCCCCCAAAAGAAATCCTCCATTTATACTTCAAACTAAGTACCCTCTTTCCTCCAAGAGAAACCAATAGGATGGAGAATGTCTCCTCTGATCAACAAATTCCTTAGCCAACATAGGGTATCTGTACTCACAGCTCCCTATACTGTCTGCCCACCTCTCTGCACGGAATCTATGGCTGAAGATGATGCCTCAACTTATGTTCTAGAAATATCTGGTTGAGAATCAACTCTATGCCGCCTTCTTATCTGGTAATGAGCTTTAGGCTTGCCTGAGGGGAACGGAAATAATGTAAAATTTTTCTTGGTGTGCCCTGCCCACACAACACTGTGGCAAATAATTTCTAATAGCAAATTTTGATTTTGTGCATTAAAAAAAAACCTGAAAAAATTATCCTACCCACCTAAATTTAACTGTAATATTTGAGAAAGAAATAAATGCCAGCCACTTTTAAAAATGGTCTAAATGGTTTTATCTACCCTTAGAAATACTTTAAATGTTTCAAGACAATGTCATGGTTTCTTCATAATTGTAATTTACAAGTGAAGCATATTTCATTTAAGAAGTCAACAAGTACATTTTATAAAGCATTAAGTAAAAATAGTTACTCTATCTCATTCTTGACTGCTAGAAGACAAGTCGTTCAGAGACTTTTATTTCTAATCAAGTAATTAATAAGTTGGCATTAATAGATCAATAGATTAATAAGTTAAAAAAGACTACTTAATGGTTTAAAAATGTTTCACCTAGATTTATCAAGACTTTCTTAACTGCTTTGAAACAGATGCTTAAACAGGGGGTAACCAAAGTAATAATAATTTCCAACATTTTATCTATCTTCTCCTGACATTTGGTATATACAATTCTACACTGGTTTGCCAAGGTGTGTTAGAGATGTGATGTGCCACAATATTGATTCCCTTAGACCTCAGGTGGCTACGTGAGCCTGGAGCAGTCTTCATTTATCTAAAAAATTATACTACGGTGATACAATCAGCAAAATTCAAATGATGGAAAAACGTACAGCAAAAAACAAACAAACAAGATTTCTTAAACAAATTTTAAGAAAACAGCTCAACAGACAAGGCTCCCTTTTGGTTTGTGACTGCTAAGGGACACCTGTTCAAAAAAACATTTACTAAGAACCTACTATATGCTGGGCAGTACTAGGAGAAACTCGATGTCTCTAGGCACCCTAGCTAAAAACTAATTCATACCCATACATTTTAGGTAAAAGGTACATTTATGTGCTTGTTCATATTGGGCATCTGCTGAAATTACCCTTCAGATGAAATAAAGAACAGAGCTGGCTAAAACAAAAACCTCATTATTCAAATGTGATAATGCTGAGACTGGTACAAAATTAATTTAATTTATAAGCTAATAATTTATAAGGCTCTTTAACTCTACTAAATACAATTCTGTTTTTATGATTAAAAACTCTATTCTAGGAAATTTCAAACAAATACAAAAGTAAAGACAACAGACTGTGAAGCTCATGCACCTATCATCCAGTTTCAACAATCAACTCATAGCCAATCTTGTTTTAGATCAGCGGTTCTCAACCTGTGGGTCGTGACCCCTTTGGGGGTCGAACGACCCTTTCACAGGGTTCGCCTAAGACCATCGGAAAACACATATATAATTACATATTGTTTTTGTGATTAATCACTATGCTTTAATTATGTTCAATTTGTAACAATGAAATTAGGGGTCACCACAACATGAGGAACTGTATTAAAGGGTCGCGGCATTAGGAAGGTTGAGAACCACTGTTTTAGATGCTTCTCTCTATAAAAGCATATAGAAAAGCACTGTTCCCTTATCATGCTTTCACTAAATTATTTTGAAGGAAGTCTCAGACTTTGTCATTTTATCCATATATAGTAGTATTTTTCTTTTAAAAAAATGGACTATTTAAAAAATCATAACCACAAAAACATTATTGTGGTATTTTGACTCACAAGAGCCTAACCTAGGTCAGCACATTCATTCATTCAATTCATTCACTCTATCAATTAGCACTTCTTACATGCAGATTATTTGCCCGACAGCTGTTGCCCTGGTATCATCTTGCCCATCTGGCCACAGTTCCTGGACAACGCCTGACTGAAGCAGAGCCCCCCGCTTGGAGTTTGAATCCAAAGAGAGAATTAAATTTAGCTTAGTTTTGTTTTTAGTTTTGTTCCTTTGCTCCCTTTTTCCTCACCTCAGCCTTCCCCCTCCCCGGGATGACTAGTCCTATAAGATTCTGAAATAGTGAAGGTCACTCTTTCTGGCATATAGACTGGAGGAGGAGAGGAACTTTAAAAAAAAAAAAAAAAAAAAAAAAAAAAGAGGCAGCTGCCTGTAGAGCAATAGAGCCCACAGAATAAAAACAGCCCTCGCATAGTCTTCTTTCTGTTCATGCTCATTCCTGAGATTTTGTGGGATCCTTCCAATTGTATCTTTTCTGCTTAAGCCAGCTTGAGTGAGTTTCCATGGTTCTCAACAGGGGGTCTCAACTAACACGGTGCTCAGCAGAGAGGTCTGACAATAAGAGTTTGGACTTGGCAGCGTATACAAGATAGAGTGCATCACCTGGGAGAGGTAGAGGCTGGGAAAAGGAGGAAAAGGACAAAACGTGGGAAACAATGAGATGTAACTGATTTAGACTAAAACATAGCAGACAGCCCCGACCAACGTGGCTCAATGGTTAGAGCATCAGCTTGCACATGGAAAGGTCTCGGATTCGATTCCTGGTCAAGCACACGTACCTTGGTTGCAGGCTCGATTCCTGATCCCAGTTAGGGTGAGTGTGGGAGGCAACCAATCGATGTGTCTCCCTCACATCGATGTTTCTTTCTCTCTACCCCCCTCCCCTCTCCCTTCTATCCACTAAATGGAAAATCCGAGAGAGAAACAGAGATGTGAGAGAGACACATTGCGCAGGGATTGGGCCTGCAACTGAGGTTTGTACCCTTGACCAGAATCCAACCCGGAATCCTTCAGTTAGAGGGCCGACGCTCTATCCACTGAGACAAACTGGCTAGGGCTCTCCTTTTACTTTTAAAGGATAATTTCACTGGATACTGTTAAAATACAAAATTCAACCAAGTAAAAAATAAATACAATAAAATCAATGGGAAAAAATATCCTAGGGTGAGGATTAACAAAAAAGAAAGAAAGAAAAAAGAAACATAGCAGACATTTCTAGAAACATGACACATTCAGTTAAAAATATTAAAGTTAAAATGGCTCAATTTTAGTTCTAAATAAGCGATATCTCCAAAATGTCATATTTAATAATAATTTTGAAATAAGATTTTTACATTTATGTGACTTTAAATAGCCTTTCTGGAAGTTTCCTTTAAAAACAAAACAAAACAAACACATTTTTCTTTAACTTCAATGTCTTTAAGCAAAAGTTCACTGTTTCAGTAAGGGCCTCTAAAAACAGGGGTTAATGCTAAAGGAATAATTATCCAGAACTGATTTCAGATATAGTATCAGCAGGCTGCAGTTCCATATACAGCTTCCACAGAAAAGATGAAAATTACTGAAAAGGAAAGAAATAACCTGTAATTCTACCACCTCAGGGTAACCAATCAGTACTGGTGACACATCGTGCATGTCCTAAATCCATTTTAAAAACACTGCTATGATTAAACTTTATTTATGATGTATAACTTATAATTCAGTCAAAATTTTAGCTTCTAAAATAACACCCAGGATTCAAAGTGGGCAGTTGTTTAAGAGTGTCTTTTTTTTAAGTGTAGTTGGAATGTATTAATTTTAAAGCGTAAACAATAGCATAGTCAAATACTGGGGGACAATAAAAATACCATTTTAAGCTCTAGCTGATCATTCAGGCAAAGAATTTGATGACTATTTTAATACTTCAATCACTGAATATAACTTCACCATTTAATTTATAAGGGTGGATATTATACACGTACATGCATATACATATAGTGTATGGTCTCTCTTTTCTTCCCTCCTACGGTGAGAGAACCTGCTCTGACTACAGTCACCCTAGGAAGCACCTTGCATTCCGCAGATCCTGTTCTCTTTTCCACAGCCGGCTCGATTCTTACACTTTAATTCACTCGGTAAATATTGATTGTACAACTACTGTGCCGGACACTGCGCTGGCCTGGAACTGCCAGTCTAGGAGGAGACTTGGAGTTGAGTAAAGGCCAGTTAGATGAAGATTGTGATCCCAGTGGAGGAAAAAGCCGATAAAGGCCTAGAGGACGGAAGAGCTCAGTACATTCAGGGGACTGAATTCAGGCCCGAGAAGGAAAGTGGCATGGGATGAATCTGAATAGCTATTAGAGTACTTGCTATTCTAAGCACCTTCCATATATTAACTCCTTGAACTTTCCCAGCAATCCTATGAGGTAATACTGTTATACCATCTGTTTTACAGAGCAGGACACTGAAGCCCAGGGCAACTAAACAATGTGCCCCAAATCACACTGCTTGTTAGTGGCAGAACAACATGTTCCAGGGAACAGAGACATGGTAAAAAGGATATAAAAAGAACAAAAGAATAATTTAATTTGAACCTATTTCTTTCTTCCCCTTGCAAGCATAAATTCAATACAAAGAACAACATATAATAATAGCTAATTCATGCCCTGGTCAGTGTATTCTAACAGAAAGCAAAGAAATATCTGTTCCACTAAAAACACACATTTGTCACCTTCTAACATCTTATTTACAATTCCTTTTGCCTAGGACATGAATCACAGTAATATTCCACTTCTCATGATTACAAGAAAGACATTGTGCTATATGAGGGAAAACAGTTTGACCATTAAAAATTCCCTAAGTTATTTGAAAATAATAAAAAAATAGATAAATATGCATAATGAATAAAAAGCTATTGCCAATTCTTTCAGTTACCACAGCTAAATTTTTATTTAATATGTCAAGAAGTTCAACTCAATCCAAATCAGTTTTGTAAATTTTACTGATTGTTGATATGCCAAACAGTACTAGATGCTAGAAATAGAAAGATGAATAAAATGTACAGTCCTTGTCCTCAGTGAAGTCTGATGGAGTTAGGCAGCCATGCACACAGACAATTACCATAAAAGTAACTGAATGAGGGAGGAGTGGAAAAAGATGGACAGGAAACATATGAGAAGTAACATCTGAGATGTATTAAAGGGTTCATATGAATTTGTAAGGCTGATACTTTGAAAAAAATAAAAGATTATAAGCAAAGAGAACAGCATATGCAATGTTATGAAAGAACACATTATGCTCGTTAGGGCTGAGGTATAAGATATATAACCCACATTTCCTGAGTAGCTGATAATGAGGTAGCAATGACTGTGAACAGACTAAGGAGTTTACATTTAGTCCTAGGTAAAGGGGAATCACTGAAGGACGTTATAAAGAAATATGACACAACAGACTTGTTTTTTAGAACAATCACTTTAACAGCAACATGGAAGATGGATGAGACAGGAAAATCAATAAGGCGTTTGCAGTTTTTGGGGTAAAAGATGAAGATCTATACCTGGGTAGTAGCAGTAGAGATGAAGAGGAGAAAATAGTTTAACAGATATTTAAAGGCTAACACTGAGATATCAAGGGAGAAGATAAGGGAAGAAAAGAGTATAATAATGCTCAAGTTCATGACTTCAGCCACGGGGTGGGAAAGAACACAAACTTTCCTAAAAATCTTTAAGTACATGGTAGGCTCTTGAACATGAGAAGTAAAAGGAAATCTTGCCTGAAGGCAAAGAGACATGGGAAGCATCACCCTCACTGTATCATTTTCCCATTCAGGAATCTAGAGCAGTTGCCATAGCCTACTACCACATCAAGTCAAAAATATATTTTCTGTCATATGTCTGTCTCCATTTTCTAGACCTCTCATTCATATTTCCATCTGCACCCCCAGCTCTAATACTAGATACATGTTTAAAAAAATTATGTTAAAAGAGATATACCAACCTTCTAATCAGTTTCTTTATTAGCAACACTCAAAAACTAGGGAACTTATTCACAGTCAGAGCTCAGCATCAGAATCACCCGTGGAGTCTAAAATGAAACAAGCCTGAGCCTCCCTGCTAGAGATTTTGATTCTATAGGGGCCAAGCATCTGTAGTTTTAAAAAGCTTCCTTCATGCCTGCGGACTGAAGGGTTCTGGGTTCGATTCCAGTCAAGGGTACATGCCCAGGTTGCAGGCTCAATCTCCAGTAGGGGGCATGCAGGAGGCAGCCAATCAATGATTTTCTCTCATCATTGCTGTTTCTATCTTCGTCTTCCTTCCTCTCTGAACTCAATAAAAATATATATTTAAAAAAACCCACACAACTGAGTACTTGCCACACAGACTGTTTTGAAAGGTCAGAACATCACCTAATTTACAGACAAAATGATTAAACATTCATACAATCACTTACCCAAGACTCATGGTATAAAACTGTTAGCAGATACATTGCATAATCATAATTCTGTCTCTTTAAAGGACACCTTCAAAAGAGAGAGAGGGAGGAAGTAAAAATTCTAAAAATTCAATACACAGAATTATTTGCAAAATATATAAATACTAAATATAAAAGAATAACTTGCATTCAGATATTCCTTATCTGCTTTATGAAAATTGTTCTTAGAATAAGAGTAATCTGTGTAATTCACTACTTCCATCTCCACACTGCTGCCCTCTCATATGTGCGTCAGGCTACTTCCCACCACCAAGCAGGATATAAGACCTAAGTGGTAATGACACTTCCAGATGCTCTGAAACTGACAAGAAGAGGGAGAGGATAGCTGCCCAATTGCTTTCTCTAAAAGCATGACTTTTATATTTTGACATAATTTAAATAACCAAAGTATAATTCTAGAAATAAAGTAACCATTTAGTAAAACAATAATAATCTTTCTTTACCTCAAATGACTTAATTTATACATTTATATAAGATAAATTTAATGCTACTTTTATGAATTCTATGCTAGCATTAAATTCTGCTTATTTACACAAGTACCTTGATAAATTAAATTTCTAGTTAATAATTTTAATTGTGAACTATGAGATTTTTATATACTTTGACTCTGTAAAAACCCGCTTAAGCATTAATTGCTAGCAAATTATACTTGTTTTCTTCTAACCTCTTCTCTGAGTTTTTTATATACATGGATATATTAAAATCAAGGTTAAAAATCACAACAAATAATTTAACTCATCAGGCAAACCTCTCCATGTATATAAAGATCCCACAGTAACAGTAGGCCAGTGTGAGGACATTAAAAATATAAACTAGACAACTTCTCTTGACCTAACAAAGCTAATATAAGTTGATATAAAAGACTATCCTTATTTTCAATGTAATTTCTTTAAAAAGGACTACTAGGGTATGGGAGGACAATAAAGCAACACATGGCCGATGGGCTGAACTTTTCTTTCTTTTACCTATCTGTTTTGATGGTAAGCACATCTGTGGTCTTGCAGTATCGTTCTCCTACAAGTTTAATAAGTTTCTTCTTTGCATGATCATCTAAATTCAAACTTGAAAGTTTAACCTTAAAAATACAAGAAAAAAATTATTTGAAAAAGATTACTTCATATACTTTAATGAAAAAGCAGTATTAATATTAAATTAACATTAAAATGAGCAAAAGGAATCCTTTTCAAACTCCTTTCTATAGTTAGCAACAGCATGCATTATGAAGCCTGATCTTACTCATGGAAGAAAATGGGGGAGCAAACTGTTTGGTGATCTTTGAAAGTTCGGAGCATTCGTACCTTTCCTAAAAGAATCAATGGCATGTCTCTTAAATAAATAAAATTAGGCTGCTTCTGAGTAGCATTAACTAATAGAATTAAACTGAATTAGTAATAGTAAAGTTGGAATATAGGAATAAGTTGATAAAACATAAGGAATATCTCAACATCATTAGTTATGAGACCCCCCTATCATTCCAACTAGCTTAGGGGCATTTATTTTAAAAGCTACAGATCTCATGGAGGGTGCAAAGGATCAAAACATTTGAAATAACATAGCTCAATATTTCTCAAAATAACAAATCTAGCCCCACAGGCTTCTAAGAATTATTTCTTTAAAAACGACTATCTATTGAATGCATTCAAGAAATGCTGAGTTAAATTAGATTCCCTACAATAGGATTTCTTAGGAGGTAATATGCTAATAAACATTGTGAAATTTCAAGATGCAGGGTTGTTATGTAATGATTCCCACATTTATTTGACCTCAGATTCTACTTTTTAAGGGACAGTTCATGGAATTAGTCTTCCTTAAAACATATTTTGGGAAATGATGGACTAAATGAAAGCACTCGTTAATTTGCAGAGAATTATGGCATGGCTGAAGGTATTATCTAGAGATGAACAGGCTTGACATAGGAGAATAATTTAGACACTAGAATACAGTTAAATAGGGTAAACTACAGATTATTTTTCCATGGATAACACTAAGAATAAGAAAGAGTCATAACTGTATGAAGAAGAAAAAAGGCTAAATAATAAATAAGATTTTGAAATCCCATCTATTTCTTTTCTCTAACTTCCATAACCCTATACTTCCCTCAGGACATCATAGCAGAAGAGCTTATTTATTTTTCCATTTTTCCCACTAGACTGCAAACTCTTCAGGGTAAGAATGATGTCTGTCTTGTTCTTGGCAACGGCCTACCACTTAAAAAAGCATGCAACACATATTTGCTGAACGAATACATAAGTGAAAACAGGAGAGGGTATACTTTTTTTTAAGCACTGAATTTTTATTTGAACTAGAGAAAACAGAAAACAAATAAATAAATGCAAATGCAGTCTTAAAAGAACACTGATTATTAAATATCAATCCAATAGAATGGTTATGTGTTGAAGACAATGTGAACTTCCATAGTCCCCTGGAAAGAATATGTATCAACAACCAGGTTATCAGCTTGATTGGTAAAATATGCAATTTTATGCTGATTATTGAAAATATGGAGAATTATTTATAAGAAAACCATAAAATGGACTTACATTATGATCATAATTATGAAAATATATGCACATATGTATAGATACAGAAGAAAGAAATGAATGGTTTTTACATTAGGATAGTGAGAATGTAGACATTTTTCCCTTTTAAAACTCCCTTCAATGAAATCATATTTAATAATAAATTTTAAAATGTAGCATTTACAAAATTTAAGTGTTCTAGCTTTTCATATGAGAAGTAGTCAAAAAAATGGCAGCAATGTTGATCATTATTGTAACAACTGCTTTAAAACCTGTTTACATTAACATTTTAATGTTCAAAAATTATATAGAGTTAATGCTAGAAACTCATGAACATTTCAAACACAGCTATGTGGTGCACTCACGCCACCTGCTAGCACTCAAAGGCACTGCAAAACTGGAGTCTAACCTGGATAATGATCTGATTTTGAAGTTGAGTGGCATCTGTCATTATTCTTTTTTCCAAAATTCAAAAGAATCTTTAGGCCTTTCTTTTTTCAAGGTGTTATATTTTAAAGAATCAATATTGTACTATTAACATTATAACCAAAATAATGTTGACATTTAATATAGGAGGCTGTGATTATTATATATGTATGTTTTTTCAAATGCTTACATTTAAAAGAGCTATATTAATTGAGCAATGTCTAAGTGTGTGAAATAGTTTCTATTTATAAGAATAATGCAGTTAGTTAAAGAACTCTGGTATTACACAAAAGACAAGAATTGTGTTTGACTTCTAGATTTGCTACTTATTGGCTAACTCACTTTAAACAATTCATCTGATTTTCCTGTTTCCTCATGTATAAAACAGAAAGGATCCAGAATTTTTGTTAGGAGTAAATCAGATTAAATAAAGCATTTTTAAAAATATATATTTTTACTGATTTCAGAGAGGAAGGGAGAGGGAGAGAGAGAGAGAAAGAGACACATCAATGATGAGAGAGAATCATTGATCAGCTGCCTCCTGCACGCCCCTACTGGGGATCAAGCCCACATTTTTCCAACACTCTACCCACTGAGCCAAACCAGCTAGGGCAAAGAAAGTAAAGTCCTATACAAATATTAAGGTAGTTTTAATTCTGAACTACTTTTAGAATATCAAGAAATAGGTACCATCTTTCTCTGAATTTAAAAATTTGAATATCTCTAAATAATATTTTATAATATTTGATTACCTTCACAATGTTGCTTAAGTCATGCCTTGAACTCCATGACACCATTAAGGACACCACACTGAGCCCCAGCAGTCAGTGGGTACAGTGAAGTAAGTCCAGAACGGCAGACATGAGTCAGGAGGAAAGGACATAAGGGAGCATGATATGATATAAGTGATATCTGGTGGCATACTTCAAATAAAGCAGTGAGGTCATTGTTTTATGAAATAAAATAAGCGAACTTAAAACTAAAAGGGAATTTAGATGTCTATTCTAGTACTGAAGACTAAGGCCCACAGGAGGTAAGGTGAAACTTAGTTTCCTGACTCTTAGTTCAGAGATTCTCCTTTTATCATCTAATACAGAGCTCAACAGCTGTTTATTGTTGTCGGTGTTATCATTATTATTAAGAGAAGTAACGTTTATGAAGTTCTTAAAAATGTATCAGGTATCATCACTCTATAGGCACTTTACATTAACCTGTCAGCCGAAGAAATGATGTCAGCAGAGTAGAATTTTAAGTTTTCTCTTTTCCTTTTGCTTATTAGACTTTCTAAAATTTATACAGTAAATACATATTGTCTTCTGTAATTATAAAATATTTTCAATTTCTCTAAATGCATAAATATATTGCTATGACATTTACATTACTCTTTGGAATAAAAAAGGCTGAAAAGCTTCATAAATTCTTTTCATAAAGATGGCATGACCCTGATACCAAAACCTAGCAAAAAAAAGGGAAAATTAGAAATCAATCACAGCTGTATCACTAAAAAAATTACAGTCTATTTGTTAGCATATAATGTAAAAATGGTTGCAGAGATTTTTAACAAATTTTTGCTATACTTAGATGCTCTAATTTAAAATACAGAATGAATGAATAAATAAATGGAAAATAGAAAAATTTCCCATATAGAAGAATTCCAAATAATTTATGTGATATTTTTCCCTCAAGAAGGTGGAATATCACTCCCAATTCCTTAAGTGTGGGCTGTGAAAAGTGACTTCCTTTGAAAGCGTACAGTATGAAAAGGAAAAAAAAATAGTGGAGAAAACTGGCAAATACGATCTCAGCCAGGTGATCTAGGCTAAGACATGGTAGGAGCCTACACCCTTGTTATCATGTGATGAGAATGGCAATTTTTTCTGCGGTTTTCTTCCCTAAAACACATACCAGTCTAACTATGAGAAAAAGATTTAACAAATCTAAATGGAAGTCATTCCAGAAAACTAGTACTTTTCAAAACTGTCCATGTCATTAAAAACAAGAAAATTCTGAGAAATCATTACAGCCAACACAATAACTAAATGTAATGTGGTACCCCAGATAGGATTATTAACAGAAAAAGAACATTAGAAAAAAAGTAAAGAAATGCAAATAAAGTATGGAATTAAAGAATAATGTGTCAAAACTGACTAATTAGTTGCAATGAATATACCATAGTAATGTAAAATGTTAACAACAGGAGAAATTTGGTGTGAAATATAGGGGAACTCTGTACTATCCTAGAAACTTTTCTGTAAGTCTAAAGCTATTCTAAAATAAAAAACTTAATAAAAAAAAGTACATCGGTAACTGCCCCATTCGTACTATGTTAAAAAGATGTGTTGTGACTATCAAGACTCCTTTAACGAAGGAAACTAATGGTGGTTTCAAGGACTAACTTAAAAGTTACTAGAGCAGAGACTTGCAACTGCAATGGCATATGGCATTCCCTTGGTGAACGAGAGCAGGGAGTTGATGTTTCTCCAAAGCCATGAGATAAGTACAAATGATCCTAAATAAAATACTAACAAAGCAAATCAGTGGTAGAGTAAAAGAATGATATACTATAAACTGATCAGGGTTCAGAAGTGGTTCAGTAATTGAAAATCTATTCATGTAATTCATTACTTCAATAATTCAAGAGATCATTCCAAAAATGCTAGTAAACATCACTAACATAATAGAAGCTATTATCTCAAACTGAAACCCAATCTCACACGTAGAGAACAAATACCAGCGACACACCCATTAAAGTATAGAACCGCACAAGGGACCACAGGAACATGATTTTAGATATTTTATCTAATGCAAAAGACAAAAAGAGAAAAATCAAACTCTAGATATTTAAAAAAGAGAACTAAAAATACCATTATTTATCATTTATTTTCTAAAAGCTTTCCAAAAGAATCAACTAAAAAGTCCTAGCACCCAGATTTTGGTCTCTAAACACTAACGTCCACTAAAAGATATCAGAGCTCCTTGGAGAAATAGCTAAATCAGGTCTGGGATAAGAAATACATGAAGTGAGTTGGGGTCATCTTGTTGTGTCAGAATGCAAGGAAATGTTCCAATGCAAATGGGACTATAAAAAAGGACACAGGAACCAACTTAAAAGAGTTACCACAGGCCAAAGTTAGGATATACCCTGAACATCAAAAAGAGTAATGATTTTACTTGATCAAAACTTACTGAATATATCCACCTAAGGATTACCTGTTCAAGAGAAAAGCAAAAAACAGGTAACTTCACAATTGAAAGATCAGGTTGTCAGCCTCTTAGCCAAGAGATCAGTTTTAGCATATTAAGAATGAGGCAACCAAACATTGTGCCCTCTCATGTACTACGATATAAAATACATGGCAACATCCACCAAGTGTCCCCATCAAAATATCTTACTGTACTCTAATCAGTTCTTTACAGCTAACTTCCACTTATATGAAATATAAGAGATTGAGAAATAAGGTGAATGACATTAGGACACATTCAGACAAACTGAGGTAGGAAATGCTACAGAATAAAATACCTATCTCTTTAACAAGTCTATGCCATGGGGGAATGAGGAGTGAAAAGAGTAGTAGGGAGGTCCTTTGCTGTTGGAGATTTAAAAAGACATAAGAAACATTACAAGCAAATGCATTAGTCTTTGACTGGATTCTGATTTAAACAAAAGCTATTTAAAAAAACATTCTGGTGAGACTATTTGGGAAATTTGAGTGTGGAGTCAATATTTTAAATAATATTAAGTAATTACTCAAACTTTTGTTAGTTGTACTAATTAATTACATTGGAATTATGTAAGAAAATATTTTTAATTTATAGATATAACACTTAAGGATTTTAGTGTAGTAGTAATTTTAAAGAAACACTTAAACCAAAACCACAAAAACACACACATGTATTTCAGTACATGAAGCACTCGATATTTTAAATTTGTCAAAAGGTGCCATGTGTGTTTATTATACTAACTCTATGTCTCCCTACATTAAAAATTTTATATAATAAAAGGTTAAAAAACAGAACTTGGCAAAATAGAGAAGTGAGAAGTTAAAAAAAATAAACTATGCCATTTTTTATAAGGGTGGCAAGATAATTCAATGAGGAAAGGATCATCTTTTCAACAAACAGTGCTGAGACAGATGAATATCCACATGCAAAAAGAAAAACAATGCTCAGTGGCTGAGCATTGACTTATAAACCAGCAGGTCAGGGTTCAATTCCTAGTCAGGGCATATGCCCAGGTTGCAAGCTCGATCCCCAGTGTGGAGGCATCTGATCGATGATTCTCTCTCATCATTGATGTTTCTATTTCTCTCGCCCCCTCCCTTCCTCTCTGAAATAAATAAAAATATTATAACAAACAAAAAAAGGAAAAAAATGGATCCCTACCTTACACCATATACAAAAATTAATTTAAAGTAATTCATATACCTAAATGTAAGAGACAAACCTATAAAATTCTTAGAAGAAAACATTGGACTCAATCTTCATGACTCTGAATTATACAACAGTTTCTTACAGATGGCACTAAAAGCACCACACCAAAAAACAAACAAACAAACAAAAAAAAAACCCACAACAAATACATACACTAGACTTCATAAAAAAATGAAACTTCTGTGCTTAAAAAGACACCATCAAGAATGTGAGATGACAATCCATGGAATGCAAGAAAATATCTGCAAGATATATATCTGATAAAGAACTGGTATCCAGAATATATAAAAAACACACACTGAACAATGACAACAAAAATTACTCAATTAAAAAATGGGCAAAGGATTTAAATAGATTTCTCCAAAGAAGATATACAAATGGTCAATAAGCATGAAAAAAAATGATCAACATCATTAGTTATTAGGGAAATGCAAACCAAAATCATATTGTACGATTCAATTATTTGAAATGTCAAGAGTAGGCAAACCACAGGGACAGAAAGTACTTTAGTAGTTAACAGGTCTTGGGGGTGGGGAAGAAGAGAGATAATGGGGAATGACTGATAATGGAAATGGGGCTTCTTTTTATGGTGATGAAAATTTCTGTTAGGTGGTGGTGATGGTTACACAACTCTGTGAAAATACTAAAAACCACTGAGTTGTACACTTTAAAAGGGTAATTCCATAGTATGTGAATTATATCTCAAATAAGCTGCTAATAAAAAGAAAAAAATTAGTATAAAAAGTCAATACACCATCAAAAAGGGCAAATGACCCTCCAAAAAAAGCTTTCACAAAGGAATAATTTCTCACCCTCATTAGAATTCAGAGACACAAATTTTAAATAAAAGATCTATTTTTTTACCTACAAAATTAATAGGTAATAATACCTAGGTTGGTGAGGGTACAGAAAAATAGGCTTTCTCACAACCTACTAGTGTTGTATCTGTTACATTTCCTGTTGTATCTGTTACACTGCAGGAGTTTATAATATATAATCAAAAAACATTTATAATATATATCAAAGCCATCAGAAAGTCTAAAGGTCCCATGATATGGATAATTTAAACAAATTATGGTAGATCTATGTTGTGGAATTACTTGTTTGTATCTCCCACTTCAGTCTTAGAAAAAGGACCATGTCTGATAGATCAACATTGCACTCCAGCTTCAAACACTCTCTTGGTACACAACAGACCTTCACTTAGATGCTATCTTATGTAGTTATTAAATTTTAAATTCATATTACTAAATGAAAAATAGTATCATCCCATTAATATACAAACGGTGGATTGCACATACACTAAATTGAGCTCTCACAGTCAATAGTTGTTATTTATAAGTAGTGGAATTATAGGTAATTTTACTTTATACTTCAAAACACTTTTATATTGTTTAAATTTTCTATAATAAATATGTATCAGTTTTAACCATTTCTTACCCTTAAGGTTACTACTCGTGCTTTGGGGTTTCGAATAGATGGTCCTGCTGAAACATAATCAGCTGTGTCAATTTCAATTGGAAAATGCTTCTCACATTTTTCATCACTGTCTAGTGCAGCTGGCCACTCAGTGCAGAAATCTGAGAATTAAAAAAATTATCTCAATTATAAGTTTGCAAGTAAATTCTCATTGTAATGCATGCTACCAGACAAAACCAAATATTGAGCTAGATCACTCTCAGTTTACATGAAATGGAAGAACAGATTCTACTCTGGACTTTATAGATGTAGCATCAACTCTCATCCCTTTTCTTCTTAGGTGAATCATATTAGGGAATTTAAGAGAAGGGAACTGTGACTTGATGGAAGCTTATTATAGCTTTGCACATACCTGTTTTAATTCCTCCTCACCAACTAACACCATACAGTTCAGAGGGTCCAGAGCAATACTGTTTTCAAAAAGGCAATAGATAGTATTATTCACTTCCAAATGAAGATTACTAAAGATAGCTGAAGGGAATTAAAAGAAGCTCTGAAAGAGCTCTAAGAGAAAACTGAGATATGGTCAACAGTCTTTCAGATATTGAGTTGAATAGGGCCTCAAGATAAAACAGGTCCAAACGCCTAGATCATCCTTAAATGGGTCCTTATTATAATTCATGTTTCTTCTATGTGATTTCTGAGCCACTGTGACTAAATATTAAGAGGTACAGACTTGTCCTCATTTTCAGGCAAGACAGCTAGCCTAGAGAGGAGGTGGAATTGGGTCTGAGACCTGGGTCACAATAAGAAATTCTCAGCAGTGGGAACATGACCCACTATTTCCACAACACAGAGGTATAAACTCGGGCCTCAACTGAGGAGGAAAAAAACCAAAACAACAACCTTAGAAGGAAAGGAAATAGCTCCCAGCATCTCACAGCTTTCAGTAATGAGGGACTCCACAGATAGGTAGTGGATTTCATTTTGCCCTATTCCTATTAAGTTAGTGTGATAGAGGGAGGGCTCAAACTTGGGATGAAAACTCCAGGCACTATCAGGTTCCCTCAATGGGAATCTCATTCCTTAAACAGCCTCATTCTAAGAACAGCTAAATGTAGTTGGCTCCATAGGTCAAACACATTAGACCTCAGAGATCCGTGCTTTCTCCAAAAAAGCACGACTGCAAGAGAGACTGCTCACAATCATAGGCAGACCTGGGAGCTCTTCTAGATGATGGTCTAAGGAACAGTGAAAGGTACTCTGCCAACAACACTTTCCCCAAGCTCACAATTTTCTTACAGTAGGTATTTTATTTAGCTCCCTTTTAGGCTTTAATATCAGAGTCAGCAAAATGTCATTTTGGGTTAGAGAGACTTTACAAGATCTGGGACTAACTATATCAGTGATGGCGAACCTTTTGAGCTCGGCGTGTCAGCATTTTGAAAAACCCTAACTTAACTCTGGTGCCGTGTCACATATAGAAATTTTTTGATATTTGCAACCATAGTAAAACAAAGATTTATATTTTTGATATTTATTTTATATATTTAAATGCCATTTAACAAAGAAAAATCAACCAAAAAAATGAGTTCGTGTGTCATTTCTGACACGCGTGTCATAGGTTCGCCATCACTGAACTATATGTTAGCAAATAAGTGTATCCAGCTCATACCATTCCCTAAACACACTGTTTAAGAGAGATCAATACTCAGACACCTGGAAGGGAAAGAGAATATCTTTGCAATTAAGAACAATTTGAGCCCTAACCAGTTTGGCTCAGTGGATAGAGCATTGGCCTGCAGACTGAAAGGTTCCAGGTTCAATTCCAGTCAAGGGCATGTACCTTGGTTGCAGGCACATCCCCAGTAGGAGGTGTGCAGGAGGCAGCTGATCGATGTTTCTCTCTCATTGATGTTTCTAACTCTCTATCCCTCACCCTTCCTCTCTGTAAAAAATCAATAAAATATATTAAAAAAAAAAAAAAAAAAAAAAAAGAAGAAGAACAATTTGAGCCCTAGCTGGTTTGACTCAGTGGAGAGTGTCAGCCTGCAGACTGAAGGGTACCGGGTTTGATTCCGGTCAAGGGCATGTACCTCGGTTGCAGGCTCCAGGCCCTGTTTGGGGGCATGCGGGAGGCAATCAATCGATGTCTCTCTAACATTGGTGTTTCTCTCTGTCTCTCCCTCGCCCTCTCCCTTCCACTCTATCTAAAAATCAATGAAAAAATACCCTCGGGTGAGAATTAAAAAAAGTAAAGAACAATTTGACATTTAAACAAAATGAATAAGATTACTGAGGTAATTTCATTCCTATCATGGACTAATTCCAACATCCTACACTATAAGAGCAACACTGCCAAGCAAGTACTTAATAAGAGAGACTAGTTTGGGGAATTTTATGAGTTTCTGAGTTTGTACTGAATCTTTTTTTTTAAACTCTGAATAAGTCATTTCAGTCACCAGATGATAATTACAGCCTTTATATTAAATGACCTGATTACATGTTTAAAAGAATGCAGCCAACTGGAAAGTACCTAATAGGCCTCTATTAGCCTTTATTCATCTGATAGGTAGAGTAATGACTAGACTTCAGAAAACCTTGGTTTTTTACTTAACTTCTGCCACTGATTATTAAAACTTTGGTAAATTACCTAACTTTCCTGTACTTCAGATTTTCCATCTGCAAGTTAGATATAAAATCTAAACTGACCTACTTTGAAAGAAAACTGAGAAGAAATATTTGAAAACCCTTTGAGTTATTTGGAAGATACAATCTACATCCAGAAGCTGGCAGAAGTGTAAAGGCAAAATTAGGGAAAGATTAAAACACTCAAAAGCACTGTAAAATATAATGCTACTCTTCCGAACGTGCTGTACGAAAGCCTTACATTTAAAAACTATAAAGCACTTTAGAAATATCTCATTACAACGATCAGTCTCCAAATTATAAATGCACACTTAAAAATAGTGTTTTAAAAAATGCAATTTATCAGTGTAATGCATTTGTCACCTGGATTTACAAAGGATTCAAAAAGTGATATATGATTTGTTCCAATGAGCACAAATTTGTAAGTGTCAGTCTAATACCAGGCACTAATGGATACAGAAACATATAACCTAAAGGGATTGAAAAGCACTCTAATGTCCCAAAACAGAACACTACATAAATGAGAAGAGATAGAAGAGATTTTTCTTTCTTCCCTCACTTCAAGAGTAAGATAATTATTCCTACTTTTCAAGACCTCTTTATCTCTTCTTCCTAATACCTTTTTTTTAAAAAAAATATTTTTATTGATTTCAGAGAGGAAGGGAGAGGGAGAGAGAGAAACATCTATGATGAGAGAGAATCATTGATCGGCTGCCTCGTGCACTCCTCCTACTGGGGATCCAGCCCTCAACACGGGCATGTGCTCTTCACTGGAATCGAACCAGGGCCCTTCAATCCTTAGGCTGATGCTCTATCCACTGAGCCAAACCAGCTAGGGCACAAAGGTACTAACTCTTAAATTAAACTACACACTCAATCACTAATAGTCGTGAACCTAAAACAATTCAAATTTGCTTATTCTAGATAGTCCAATGCAAATGAGATCAGAAATTAAATTGGAGTATGTACTTATTTTGAGAGCATACATAAAACCATGAGCAAAAAAAAAACGTTCTTTGTCCTTAGCTCCATGCATGTGGAGGATACGAGTGAAATCTATATTGATATCTAGGAATCAATAGCTATTGTTCAAAATCAATCAATCCAGAATTGGAAGTATAATCATATTCAGGTAATGCATTATATATACTAGTATATGCACCTACTTTATAGAGTATATATAATATATACACAGAGAATACATATATATACATATGTTGATTTGATATACTTATATATTGTAATATGATTACCACCATAGCTTTGGAAACACCTGTAGTACATCATATAATTACCATTTCTTTTTTGTGGTAAGGACATTTAAGATTTACTCCCTTAGCAAATTTCAGGAATATAATACAGTATTATTAACTATAATCACCATGCGGTATATTAGATTCCCAAAACTTATTCATTTTATAACTGGAAAACTGTACCCTTTGAACAGTATCTTCCTTTTCCCTCTAACCCCTAGGCCCCGCAGCCCATGGAAACCACCATTCTAGAAATTACACATAAATGTGATATTATACAGTATTTGTCTTTCTCTGTCTGACTTATTTCACATAGCATAGTGCCCTCAAGGCCCATCCATGCTGTCACTAATGACAGAATGCCCTTCTTTCTCA